AGCAACAGAAAAATTATATAAACGTAAATATAGGGTGTTTAGTAAAGACTGCATATCATGGGCAGGTAAAACGAATTAAACTGAGTCGAAAAGTCCTTTACTATATTGCAATTTTACAATTTTTTTTTTTAAGTTAATCAATGAGCAGAGTGTCTAAAATCAGTGCATAAAATAACTTTAAGATATTTTTAAAGAGTTTTTTCAGATATTTCAGAGAAACATTTTCAAGATACTTCATAAGGAACTCTGAAAAAAAAACTTAAAGCGTCGATTTTATCCGCTTATTCAACAATTTTTAGAAATTATTATAATATCTCGTTTATATATGAGTATTGCACTTGTTTACAAAGTAGAACATTACTTCGTTCAGATTAAATTTTTGAATGTTAAAAATAATGCTGTAAGCCAAAAATTTTCAGCGTTGGGTTTCCAACATAATTTTAATGTTTAAAAAATGACTTTTTTTATGACATTTAACATTCTTTTATAAAGAAAGTTAACATTATCTTGAAATATTAAAATTTATTGTTGTGAATATATTGTTTATATTTTGTCCTATAAAATGCATTTTTTTCAATACCTTATATACTATGTAGTCGTACAACGAAGAATTTAAATACAGGATTTTTCTGAGATACAAATTTGTAGCTATCGAAAAACATATACAAGCCATATAATCTTTTTTTTTAGAGATGTGTACGCGCGCGCGTATGTGTGGTGTACTATACGTACATACGTGTGTGTACACACATACACACACACACACGCGCACGCACGCATATATGTATATATTTAGCGGAATCTATAACGATAAATTACATCGCGTATATCGATAGATACTAATTATAAACATAAACTATAAACATAACTAGAAATTATAAGTATAATGATTTCATTGTTAAAGGCGGAAAATTTAATATCTTAGAAAAATTTTGTATTTGAATGTCCTTCATAACGTAACTAAAAAGTAAGATATTGAGATAAAAAGAATGCATTTTGTAGAGAATGAACAATACATTCATGATTTTTGATTATAATTTTGAGAAAACGTTAATCTTTTTTTACAAGAACATTTTAAATATAACAAAAGAGCCATTTTTGTACATTAAATCTCAGTTATTTTAAAAATGTGAAATTTAACTTGTGACATCATTTTCAGCATCCAAAAATCTATAAAAAACATCTTATCTGATTAAAAGAAACATTTTTTTGTAAGTTAATATTATCTTTATTCACAGTTTATGAATGTATTAAATCCATTTATCGACACTAGGATTTTATTGACAGTGGCGAAAATGTGATACGTAGTTCACATCAATTTATAAAATTTGATGTTGGTATTGTTAGCATACAGTAACTTTCATCTGTCACATGAAAAAGGCCGCCATGACCTCTCTCAAGTTTTTCTCTGATAATGTTAAAAATGGACAATTATGAAGTTTATTCGTGTCGCAAGCTCCAACATGTTCCAACATACTCCTACCACAGCTCCTACTCATTCTATCAAGCGCGTTGGAATGAGTAAGAGCTATGATAGGAGCATATTACATATTACATGTTGGAACATGCGACGCGAACAAACCTATTGATTAATTACAAAGATAAAGAATAAATAAATATATTTTTTAACTTTTAGGGATGACTTAAGAAAACAAATAATAAGGAAACACAACTACGACACAAGATATCTTTAATAAAAGTCGTACATTAAAAAAATTTTAATACAATAAAGTAGACGTTTCGGTCAAGTCTTGGCCAATAAGATAAACGATGTTGCAGAAATTAAAAAAGATGTTAACAAAATATTCGAATGTTATTATTCGCTATTCCAGAAATGACGGTGACATAAAGATATTCGCTTATGAAAGGAACTTTCTTGCAATACAGATTCCTTGTTACTTTGGATCTTTTTGTAAGTATTTGTATAGTAAATACGGAATTTCCAATTCCATATTTTGTGACATCAATTCTTGCAAGTATATAATTCAGTTTTAATGTAAATTTGCACAATCTAAAACACTATTTAAAATAGTCTAAATCAGTGTCTAGACATGGTCTAAAGTAGTTCTTATCACTAAAAAGTTTTTTAAAACTCTATATAAATTTTTATTAAAAACTCAGAATTATACTTCTCCAAATTTATCATATTATTCTCAACAAACGAGAATGGATTAAAGTGATCGAAATTTTTTTCTATCCGAATGCGTATTTTAAATAGAGAATACTTTTTTTTAGATTAATTGAATTGCATCCAATTGAATCTAATTGAATTCATTTGGATTCAATTAGATTCAATTGGATGCAATTGGATTGAAAAACTGCATTTCCTATTCAAAGTTTTGAATTGAGTATTCACAATTATGTTTGTGTGTAAAGAGAAAGTTAATATTATTTTTAGATTGAAAGGCATAGAGATGCTCCATACAATTCCTATAAATGAATAAAAATATTATACATTCAGAATTGAAAAGCATTCATTCTTAACATTTATGAATAAGTATTTCTGAAAATCTGAATCCATTTCAATTCATGTTAATCCATTCTCGTTTACTGGGAAGCGACTGTATTATTATATAATATTAAGGATCCTAATTAGTCGCGGCGGCTATGTTGGAATCGTGACATCAGAAGCGAGGAATGACGTTAATTTATGTTGCGCGCCATTTTTAAATAAAGATAATTTGGATGACACGAAATGACGAGATCACTTTGTAAAAATCGATTAAAACTATCCTTTCCTCCCTTGACAGTCAGTAAATGGTCATAAAAGACACGTAAAGCCTATTCGGGCAGAAACACACGGTTCGACAGCTGTTGAAACGAGTAAAATATACGCTATTACGTATAAAATTCCAAAAAAACTTTAGTTTTCATCGATAATTATTCTCGACTTCGATAAGTACGAGAGATAAGTACAAGTCACATTTTAACTTATTAAGCAAATAATAACGAAATATCACGCATACATTTCGTTATGAAAACACTTTTCCACGCCTATAAATTTGGCCATTTATCGTGGTTCGGCGCTGTAACATATAACATATAACAAACAAGTACGAGTCCATGACCCGAAATCAACTGTTTATGACATTGCGGCAAAATATACAGCTTTAGAACAGTTCAACGAAAGTTCCAGTATGCCAGCGAGGAAGTCACTCGAAAGAACGCATCGCAAAGACTCTCGCAGTCATTGAAAGGGCTCAAGCGCTAATTTCGAATGACCCAGGGCAATTGTTGCGCATTCTGATGGATGTAGTGAAGCCATGGATTAGAAACTGTGGCGTCCAGAAGGCCATGTTTTTCAGCAGGATGGTGCACCGGCTCATTTGATTCAAAATTGGCTCTTAGATAATCAATGTTTTGATTCAAGGAATCCTCTCAATAACCCAGATTTAATTCCCTTGGATACTACATATAGAGCGTAGTTGAAAGGATAACAAACAAGTCTCGGCCCAATGTGACGTCATTAAGGATCGCTATTGAGGCAATATTCGTATTGTGATATAACCAGTAGAGACATTCAGCAAAAAAATGCGTGTTCGCACAGGTATGGCTGCGCAGCTTTTGTTTTGGAATGAAATGCAAGATGACAAGAACGTATATATTACATAGATTCCGTGTGCAGATATTTATGGCAAAAGAAGACAAGAGCTGTATAATAAATATTTCTAAAAAATGGATAAAAAAAAGAAAAGTTATGTGCAGTATTAAACAATGCAGTAATAATAGTAAAAATTCACAATAATAGTAAAAATTCACTTTTTTTCGTTATCCCAAAGATATCGTAAGGTAAGTTTTATAATTTACAAAAAGTAAGTTTATGTTAGGTTAACTTAATTAAACATAATCAAATGTAATTTTGTGAAAAAAGATAATATTTTTACATTGACTACGTTTATACGGCATTCTTAATTATTTTTTAGAGCAAAGCAATTATATCCTCTTTCAGCCCTAGATTTTTCAAACGTTAACATGGCGGATGCTCACGTGATTGCGATGCGGAGATCAAAGGTGCCGACACGGAGTGTTTCTATTGGTTATATTGTGCCTATACTGTGCCCTAACGGGCCGCGCATAATGAAAGGAATAGGGAACAGGGAACAGATAATAAGAATTTCAACTTATCAGAAATCATGTACTGTGAAATACACAGTTTCTGATAGGTTGAAATTCTTAGGGTGAAATCACACGGTGCGGAAAATGACTACAGAATAGAAAATGCGTTATATAGAAACAACCAATCAACGTTATTCTGCGTTATTCCGAATAGCGCTAATTGGTTGTTGATGATGTAATGACGCATTCTTTATTTCGCAATCCTTTTCCGCATCATGTGATTTTATCTTTATTCTCTGTTTCCTATTCCTTTATTGTGCGCAGTCCCTGAGTCCCCCCCCCCCCCCCCCCCCCCCCCTT